TGTGAGGTTCTCAAGGCAGGCTTTTTTAGATGGCCTTTCGACGGGATTGAAAAATCCTGCAGGTAAGTTTCGAAGTATATGAACTTTTTTGGATGCAGATAATTCATTTTCTGATCGAATCAATGATTTGGAAGCTCCGAACTCAGTTTTGCTATCTCATCCAAGTTTCTGAGTATTTCCTTCACCCAAAAACTAATCTAAGACCCTATCCTACACTAACCTAAAAAGAGTAAGTTGCTTAATTTCGTCATTTAGTGCGCTCGCTGAGAAGTAAAATAATTGTGGGCATTTGAATCCAAAAAAACTGGAGACTATCACGAAGAAATGGATGGTAACTCATTTGAAAATTGGTTCAAAAAAATTTTGCCGACACTTGATGATAACGCAATTATTGTGATGGATAATGCCCCGTACCACTCCAGAAAATTGGAAAAAATTCCAACAATGGCCACCAAAAAGGCAGACATTCAACAGTGGCTTGTCTCAAAGAAGATCGACTTCGACCAAACAATGGTCAAAGCTGAGCTGATAAATATAGTCAAGCGACATAAGTATAAATATGATTTAAAAATTTTTGACGAAATGGCCAAAAACCAAAATAAAACGATTCTCAGGCTGCCTCAGTATCACTGCGAACTGAATCCTATCGAGTTGATTTGGGCCGACATCAAGCAATACGTGGCGTCAAATAACAGCACTTTTAAGTTTTCTGACCTTAAAAAACTGTTTGATGTTGCTGTCGATAGAATTACGCCAGCAAAATGGAGAACATGTATTGACCATGTCCAAGAGAAGGTTGAAACCAAAATGTGGGATATGGACAATATCATTGACACCCAAGTTGAACCCCTTATAATTGACATCAACAATTCTGATGATTCAAGCTCCTCGGAATACAGCATATAAATCGATTGATACCATTAAGACTGGCAGTTTAACGGGCTTTTTGGCAAGAAAGGTAAGTTCATTATAGACTGCAATCAAAGTGTAAGTTTCTAGTTATTAATGTGGAAATTCCAAATTTATAGTTACACAAAATTAGGGTTAATTTAGGAGTTCCAAAGCATAATAGTGCCATTTTGACCTTCTTCCTATTTCTCATGTAAATTTTAGTAGCAATCAAACTAACAAACTTTATGGAGCCTGTAATAAACTTTTGTACTACTACTACTACGTCTGTAGTTTCTATTTGCTCAAAAAAATTTGCTCTGCATTGTGAATAGAAGGTTGATTTGTAAATATTATTGGGTATATATGTAAGTTAATAATAAAATATGAACAATTTCAATTGAGATGGTCCACAAGTTTTTTTCGTGTGCGTTTTAGTAACATTTTGCTGAAATGGTGAATACAGAATTTTTTGCACTGATTCCTAATGTCGAAATATGATTAAAAAGGCGTGGTATATTCCTGATAATTTACTATGCTTTTGATAGAAGTTACAGCAACACATATCTTGTACGACATTTTTTGATAGATCAGTCACAATAGCTTGATACGGCCCTGTAGCGTCTCCTACGGTTAAGTTCTTGATCACGTGCAATACGGGTGTATATGTTTGATTTTACTTTGTTTCTTCGATGGATACAGTTTAAAACTGAACAGAGAAATGTGTAGCTGCATAGCTTGAGCTAATTTAAATATCAGATCGATAGGTAGGTCCTTTACTGCTCTGTGCAGCATTCAAATTTGGGTTGCAATATTAACATTTTGGTAGTGGGAAAAACAAAGAAAAGAAAAATCAAATGATGGAAGTTTAACAGTAGTTTATCAAATAAACACAAATTGACATTTTATATATATTTATAAAAAACATAAAAAGTCTGATTTCTAACAAAATAGTAAACAAGGAACTTTCCAAGAAGTTTTCAAACCTTACCACAAATTGACTAACAAACATATAAAAGTGTATAAAATAATTATAAAAACAATTTAAATATTCCGTAAAATACACTTACAAAAAAAATAATACAATAAATTTACTTTGGTGCTAGTAAAAATCAGCCAATAGTCAGAACGGATAAAAAACCGAATTACCGATTGGCTAGAATCTGAAACAATTGACTATTCCTATTGGGCTATAGGTCAACAGCCCCGCATATTGCACTAACGGTAACTATGTAAGATGGAACTAACACCACAAATAAAAGAAGTGTTAACCCCATGCGCAGACAGTGATTGCAGTCATTGTCTATTCACAAAATATAGCAAATATAGACCAGAAGAATTAGAATTAGCAACGGTAAAATCTCACAAACTATCCTTTGATGAAAATTTGTACATATAATTTGAATGCTGGAGACACTTGATATCCATTTTGAAATATTCATTATTTATATGTATTGGGCAATTTAGCATGTTTATTCTAACAGTTACAATTAAACAACACATAACATGCATCATTACCATTTTTTATCTTTGTGTTTTAGAATAATCAAATGATAAATTTCCTACACTATGCACATTTCTCAGGTTTTATATATTCTAGCTTCCTGATCTCAGGACATGATAATGTAGTTTGTGAGATATGTTTCCAAAATAAGGTTAGGCTAATTCTACTGGGCCAACAACTAAAAAAGCATTCTTAAAACAGTTATAAAAAGTAAAAAATATACAACTTCAAAGATTTCCAATAAATACTCAGCTTATATATTAAAAATATGAAAGTACGGCCGGTTTGAAATTATCCAGCCGCACGAAATTCTAAATCTCATAAAATAGATAAAAAGTTATATAATTAGATAAAAATGACAACGGCGCGAGCGGCCGGTGGCCAGTGGCCGGCGGTCTACAGAATATGATACAAAGAACCCCGCAGACTACATACACAGATGAACAGCCGAATGGAAGCTTGGCCAGCTTGCCCTTGGCCGTTGGCCAATCCCCAAATACTCCGAACTTTTACCTATTTTTCTCCGACTAACTAATGTCTGCATATGTGATAAAACTCTGATGCTCAAGTCATTATAGAATGCTGGTATAGATTATTTTCCAATAACGAACTTTATCTTTAACCATCAAATTATATGGTTAATATTTTCATATCTGGGATAATCATGATTGTTAGTATTTTCTTTGGCAAAATTCAAAACATCATTAAATTCGGAGCATTTCGAAGGGATACCATTATATTCTGTGAATAATTCGCTTATAGTTCATTTTTCTCGGTTGACGACGCATATCCACCATTTCTGACTATACCTCTACTCCTGCCATCAAAAGCAGGCGAGCAAATATACAAACAGTAGAAAAAGGAGTGTAAATGTTTACAAATCATATTTTTCTCATTTGTACCATGTTGTAGATGGTTTACCAAGTGACAAGCTTGTTAATTTTATTAACGTGGACAAAGCAACGCGTTCTTGTTATTATAAGTCCAGGCAAATTACTAGTATGTTGATCTATTCTGAATCAATAGAAACGTCTATTGGGATCATTTCATAGCATATTGTTAATAACGAAGACTCAAGTCGAAATTTCTTCAAAAATGTTATAAAAAGCGTACACGTTCCACGTAACAGGTGAAAAATATATTTTTGTTTAGACTGGTGCCCATCATTATTTCCGGCATACTCTGACTTAATCCCAATAGCGATCTATTGGTTCAAGGAAGATCCATGAGCAATCTTTTATGAAACTAATTTGCCTGAAATATTCACCTAATAAATCGATCTCAGCGAAGTACTCCCTCGCCCTAAACCAAATTTTAAGACACGCTAATGCAAAAATGAAATTTCACCTCTAGCGAATTTTGAAAAGTGGTCATCATTGAAATTTGAGCTCATCAAGTCTACAACAAACGCCATACAATTATAGTTGACTAGAGTAAAATACACAGCCATTACAGAATTGTTCTTTTACTCGATAAATATACAAGGTGTCCTCAAAGTTGGGACTTTACAGAGCAGGCAATAATGAGCATGTTCTCCCCCCCACAATCCCCTCGTACGTCAAAACGTATGATGTACTAGTCAGTATCAAAGTCTAGGTTAACAAACCGCATTTGAAAAAACGGAAATTGGTACATTCCTAGAGCAATAACGTTGCTACCGACTTGATATAAGCATCTTCAAAATCCCATTGATACTTCGCGAGTGTGCTAATAACATTGCCGTCGTCCATGAGGTTTCTTTCCATCAGAGCTGCATATGTTTGTTTATATCGTGAAAAACGTCTGATTGAATACAGAGACCTAGAGAGCCCCAATTGTTGCAAAGTTAGAATTAGGTAAACAAACTATATTTTGTAACAGCGACAGCTTCAAGCAGTATTTACAAACAAAACATGTGACAGGGCAGTTCTTGAAATCCCTTACCTAATGAGTAGTGAGTATTTTTCCTAATTTTTTTACGCGTTCGGTGTTGTTTTGCCGCAAATTAGCTTTGGTATTGCAAACGTAGCTGACTGAAAAATTATCTTTCAGGACACCCTGTAGATCATTTCGAAAATATCTGTCCATTAGACGTGATGAGTCAAGAGGTCTATAATTTTTAAATTTGTCAGTATGGTCGTGGACACGACCAATCTCAAACACAATATTTCAGTTGCAGAGAAGAACACTCTTTACAACACTCGTTAGCTGATTAGATCGGTACTTTTTTTTGAAAATATATTGTATAGAATTGGTAAGGACTCGCTTAGATGATTAGGGAAATTTGATGAGCTTGTCTGCTTGTCACTCGGTCTATTTACACAATTACCTAGGAAACATTAATTATGGTTAAAGATAAAACTCTACTATGCCGATCTGCCAACTTTATGGGCTGGGCCGACGAGTTATTGCACACATCAAACTTTTTGCTAACCACCATTTATAACAGTTTAGTATAAAAATTTATATTCAAAAAATACAAAGTCTTAGAATAGCTGGTACTATATATAATATACTATACATATTCGTGCAAATTGATTTAATACATCGTACATATATAAAGTGCGGACCTGTGTCGCGTACACATGGTTACGTTATATCGAAATCGTTGATTAGTAATTCTTGATGGCGGGAGTTCAAAACAGACTGACTCCGACATAGCTCAAGTTCACCGCGTTTCATTCGATTTTTCTCTACGCGCACCGCTGTTTTCAATGGAAACATTGTCGTGACTCGAGTCAAAGTGGAATTCAGTACAATTTTCCACCTATGACCTCAGATGCATCGATCTAATCGGGTGTCGTGATCTTCGTTTTGCGCCAATGTGAGCCGTAGTTCAAGTTGCTACGAACTTATTTAACTTAATACAACCGCATGGCTGAGCTACAGGGGCACGAGAAACGACTATGTCAAAATGGGATTGTACAACCTCTACTTACAGGTATTTTGAGAAAAAAAAATCATTTGATCATCCATCTCTATCATATGCACCTCGATGGGACCACGACCATCGCTCAAAGTTATATTTCATATCTTACATCCGGGCCCACAACATCACGAAAACATTCGCCAAAAATTCTTCAGTATGTCCTCTGATAAAACATGCTGTTTCCGGGAAGGTTTCATTTACAATGCTATTGGGACATATAACATTAACTAGGCACTTAAATCAAAAAGTTTATCTAGCCTCAAAGTCACTTACAAATCCCTCATGTATAGTCTTCTGTTTAAAATGATTGTTTTAAAACGACTGTTTCAAATTTATTAAAAAATATGCATATTTTGTGTTTATTTGTAGTGTTTGCTTATATTTGCACTCCTTTTACCTATTTGAATTGTTTACATATATAGGGTGAATGTGCCAGAGGTCGGGCAGCGTAGACAAAAGTGAATACGAAGTGTAATTACGAATTTTGTGTTTCAGATAACACAACTAATGCTTTTGGATGTGATCATACAACAACAAAAACATTGCTTATAGATATTCCTGTAATTAAAAAAAATAATCAAAAGGTGCTATTTTGCCAGAACAGTATTTAAAAATTTGTGATAGTATAATAGAAATTTAAAATCAGCTGTGATTAAGACTTTGGGGAAAAGAAATTAAACACACCCATACTGAGTTCATTTAATATGGATATTTTTATAAAAAATACATATAAGCTAGGTAAAAATGAACAATAAACTATTTTTCCCTTTAATCCGGTTCTGCACTGTCGACTTTGAACTACCATACTGTTTACATATTTCAAGCAATTTCCCAATATTTCTCACAGCTTCGACTGTATCCTTTAACCTGCCTTCACTATATGTATATACAGAATTTATTTTTTTCTTGGTATTCATTACCGAATGAAATGGAAATGTGAAATTTTACTTTACAGTCTCGTGAAAAAATGGCGGTAAAATTCGTTCATTCCACTAGTTGGACACAATATCTCTGCCCATAATCCACATTATTTGTTATTTTTCGCTGTCTGTCGATTGGCTGGGGTCGTATTTTGGCTTTCTTAATTCCAAGATAAACGTTTTTTAAATAAAAAAGAAACGTCCACTACTGGATTTTGATTATAATAACATATTAAGGTTAATTTATTCCGTAAATTTTGAATGTCTTCTGTAAATGTAACAAAAACAGTATAGTATTTTCCACGAGTATCCATTACGGTAGATTGACAGTTGACACATAATTCTGACGGAACCGTCAATACCAGGTAGACAGAGCCAAATTTTGTTTTGTTTTTTTTGTATGCTACAGATTCATTTCGTACTTGCTAAAAGCTCTTTTATTTAGAAAAGTTCATTTGCTACAAACAAGTTTTACTAGATTTACACCCGATTCATTATTGCCAGCGTTACAGACTAACACAAAAATAAACGTCAAAGCGTGAAGGATACTCGTGAAATAGGGTATATTTATATAATGTCAGCTGACGATTCTACTTGCCTTCAAAGTTTATGTTACTCACTATACAAATGTCAAAAATTGAGGAATCGAATGCATACTGTTTTTGACGCGCTAATGCTATTGTCAATATGACAACTGTGGATGTGAAATTTTTGTAAACTGTTTTAAACCTATTATTTGGTAAATTTGGTATCAATTACCAGCAAGTATAAGATTTCAAATATTCAAGTTTCCACCTATAATATAACATTTGTCCGACTACTGGTAGTGTCCGGGCTATTGACACATTCACCCTACATACAGTAGAATCCCGATTATCCGAAATAATGTGGACCCAAGCCCAAGTTCTTTCGGATAATCGAAATTTCGGATAAAACGGGGATAAATATTTAGACTCATAATGCTTTTATCGAAAAAAGTAAATGCGTGTGTTAAGTAAGTATATACCTATATAAAGTAATATATAAACATGTGGATAGAACCATACATATTTACGAGTATTTAGTAACAAAGGGAGTAATTTTTAACTGTACTCATTTTGCATTGTTCCTGTTTTTGGCAGCAGTATCCCTCCGTTTGATAAGAAGCACATCAGCTGACGCATTTTCTTATTGTTCGACGTAAGTGAACGCCTTTTGTAGAGCTTCTAATCCCCCAGAATGTGATATTTTGGTAGAGATTTCCGTCTCATTGTCACTAGCATCACTTAAAACTGTCTCATCGCCATTGTTGCAAACAGTTTTTATTAGTTCTATATCAGTTAATTCTTTCACCAATTCATCACCATTAATCCACTCACGAGCATTTGCTTGGGTGAGATGTTAACACCCTGTTATTTTTACGACGAACTCATGTTAATTCTCATAGTCTGCAAACGGTTCCATTTCTTGCTTAATTATTGTCGACCAAGATTGTTGTAAAGTAGGATTCTTTACTTGGCTCCATGCTTCTGCTATCCAATATGCCACATTCTAGAGGTTAATCTCTTTTAAACAATCAACGAGGTTACAACCATTATCAACTTGATCTAAAATTTGCTCTAATAACAAACGTCAGTAACTGCGTTTTAAATTTTGTAAAACTCCTTGATCTATTGGCTGAATCAGTGACGTTATATCAGGAGGCAAAAATATCACTCGTATTTCTCCACTTTTAAGTTGCTCCTCACTTGGGTGGATAGTCACACGTTCTTTACTGCGTTTGTAACCAGGAGCTCCAGATTCTTATTTGAAGCTAAACTTTTCGCCGGTAACATTTTATAGTTTAGGCCCGTTTCGTCGCAGTTGTAAATTTGTTCTTCTTTAAAATGTTCTCCAAATTTTAATGCAGCGGACTTATCGGCAGATAACTTTTCTTCGCAAACTTTTAATTCTCGTATACCGTGTCGTTTTTTCCATCTATGCACCCAACGATCACTGGCTGCACAGTTATCAGGCGCCTCAATGACTGGCAATTCTTCACTTTTTTTGCTGTAGAATTGATCCGGAAATTGGTATTTCACGTTCTCGATTCTGTGTAAACACAGATATAATGCATCATCCACTTTTTGATATTCCCCTTTTTGGCAGGTTTCCGTGACGGCTACGATGATGTCAGAACACTAGACCACTTTTCAATTTTCTCGCGATATTTTTTCCATTCTGAAATAGTACTCACGTCCACACCCAAATCTCTTGCTACGTTTTTAAGTAAATCACCTCTATCTAAACGTCTGATTGCCTCAAGTTTCTGTTCTATGGTAATATCAACGCGTTTACGTTTATTTCTATGCTGCTCCATCTTAGCGATTATGAACCTGACTGAAACAAACATACACGCACACATACCAGTGCGCCGATTTCGCGAACAACTTCGGTTAAAACGAAGAAATTATTGTAAGCAATCTGTTTCGGATTAAGCGGATTTCGGATAATCGCGATTCGGATAATCGGGGTCTACTATATTTTTTTTTTGTTCTGTTCCACCTCGCTTTGAGGTTGAGTGGCGTCAATTCAGGGATATTAATAAAGACATTATTATAATTTGGTATCTGAGAAAAAAAGTTTTATAGGACTTGTATTGTAATTTCAATTAAATCAATTAAAAGCAAGTAATCAACCATGTGACAACTAACAAAAACATTTAGTTTAAGTAAATTCCCATGTATAACCACTTTATTTAAAATTAATGAGTTTTCCGGCTCCCAGTTAAACCATTTAACCATATTGAATAATTCAGTTCAGTTAGTGAAGGTAAAATTATTTACCTAGTTATATTTATTTGATCATTTCATTTATATTTAAATATACAGGGTGACTTTGAAGTTGAGTCATTAATTTTCAGATAATGATTGTAGAAGGAAGATAAACCAAAATATGTGTGTAAAAATAAAAAAAAAATTAAAAAAATTTTTTTACCTTGTTTTATAAAGTATCCTCCCGACAAGTATTTCAGTGCGGACCTGTATTTGATCGTGCGGTATTGGAGCACCGGCATGCCCTCCCCTGTGAGGTCTTAAGTCACCTGATTCACGAACCCTTTGTACTACATTAACTAAGGCATGAGGGGTTGGTTGCACAAGTTCAGCATTTTCGTAAACATGTGCCATTTTTTATTTCGTTTGAGCCACTCATCAAACACCACTATTCACTCACGCGTTACCGACTGACACATTGACTGAATACAACTAAAAAAAATTGTAGTAAAAACATCGTGATAAGCGTTTCAGATTCTTTCGCTTTTTTGTTTCCGATGCGATGAACCGATAAGGCGGATTATATCCGTTGTTGCCACACACGAGCACATAATATTATTATTGAGACAGGGCGGTACTCAAACTTCTAAAGGGCTATAACTTTGTTACTTTAATTTTACCACAAAAATGTTAAAGGAAAAAAACATAAATAATTCTAGTCTAGTTTTTTCCAGCAGCTGCCGCGATTGACGAAACGTGAAGAACAATCAAGTACTAAAATGTTGACGAAAGTTTAAAATACATACAAGTATGTGTTGAGATATTTGAATGCAAAAATGCCATAGATGCCATCAACTTGAAATTTTCAGCTCCCAAAATTCTGCTTCTAGACGCTGATCTTTTCTATTTATTAGTGTATCAGGGGTAAAAACGTTGATTATTTATGATTAAGCCAAAATTCGACTATGGCTGCGACTTCAGCAGAAGGTTGTGTTAAAAGCCAAACATCGCCTTCGGACAAGAAAACTGACAATGGGTGCTGTTAAGTTTTATTATGAAACATTCTCAGCAGACTATTTTTTACTGATATGCCGGCGTACTTTGCCCGTCTAAGGCTTTTTTCATGCATAAGGCGTGTCAGATGAACCCATTAAGTTTCTACTTCTCATTCTAGCTCTAACTTTCTCTCTCTAGCTCTGTACATCGAGAACTGGGTGATACGATCGATCATCTGTTATTATTGTGTAGAGATTGTCGAACAATTGAAGAGCCTTTTCAAAATCTACTAGCTTTAGGTATTTCAAAAATCAGATCAAAAGGAAATCCTTAAAGCTCTCTGTAGCAGTCGCGCTACCTCAGT